TGCGTTGCACCAGGTTGTTTGTGTAATTGAGATCAGGATCCCCAGGGATCCCGATGCGTCTGGCTCCCACCGAAATGCTCAGAGGCCTTTGAGGATCTGGGAGCGTTTAAAAGCACGCTGTTAGGCTGCCCCTTATTTTTCTGTGGTGGGAAAAAGCCCAAACTTCGACAGTGAGTTTTGAGTACCTGTGCGGCTGAGTAAATTATGCAAAAATGAACGACTATGCTCAGTCTGAGGGACAAACCAGATTCTCCTGTGAAGCAAATACCATCACTGCCACCACCTTCGGCATGTTCTTATTTTATTGTGGCATTGGGATTTTAACTGAGTTGCAGACAGCTGCCCAGATCATGGCCCGGAGCTGAGGGCTCTGTGTAGGCAGCGGTTACACCCTGTCCACGCCAGTGTCCCCTCCATCCCCCTTCCAAAGAAATGCACTGCTGTATGTTCGAGCGCTGTCTGAAACCAGCATGCATCAACCACCTCTCCTGACACCTGTGTAATAAATGACATTTTTAAAGTGGGTGACTGTGTTTAGTGCCAAAGCAACAGGAGGATATTGCAAAAGAGGAGATGAATGCTCGTAACCATGTTCTGCTGTACTGTTTTCATTTCTTCTGCTTGCTACCCACAAATGTGTGCATGTGCTCGCCAAGCCCCCCAAAAAAACCAAGCAAAAGTAAGGCCAGTGCGGTACGATTTAAGTTTATAAAAGCTGGACTTTGCTTGATGCTCTCTCCCTTATTTTATACCAAAGCGGAATCCAGATCGTTGTTGCTTTGAAGTGAGTACTGTGCTCAAACTTCATGTGTACCCACTTCGCCAGACAACAAAACTAGCAATGTTCTTCCAAAGGTGTTGCAATTGAATGTCTCCACCTTCTCTCTTATGCCTCAAAGGAATGCTTTTGGGTATTGCCATGTATTTGTATTCCTTTTTGTATATATTTACATCAACTTTTTAAAGACGTACTGAAGAATTTCTGCTAGGCTGCTTGAACATGCCAAGCCTGAACTTCAAAAATAGCTCTTTCTTTCACTGTAGGACTTTTTTTACACACTTGTGTACCAATGTATTTAGTATATATATTTATTTATCCAGTTGAATACTGTCTTTTTATTGAAACAATCACAAATATTTCCTTCGTATTTTCAAGGGCTAAAGCTGGAAGTAAATAGAACTTGAGTTTAATTTGGGGCAGATATTTTTTGATGCTTAGCTATTAAACTGAGGATAATAACTTTTTTTTTTTTAATTCACAAGCAGCATACTCATAAAAATTTACAGTTACTTGAAAATTGTCCTATGGCATAACACTGTGAATAGCTTTAGGGTAAATGAGAATTTCTAAGCCTTATTGTTGGGAAGTGCCTGTTTAAAAGAAAGAAGAATATGAAATAGGCTTATTATATTAGAAAAATAATTAATTAGAAGGTACACGTGAATTTAATCTTATTTGTCAAATGCCAGTGAGCACTTGTAAATGAGAACTTCTATATTATTGCAAAGTGATGCAGTTTATGTTCTTTTATTCAAGAGAACCAGAAGGACCAGAAGGATAGATAGGAAAATGAAAATTTCATCCTGATCCTGTTTCATAAAGCATTTATTTTAACCTAAGTAAAAGCTATTGGTTTGTATGAGTTCTGAAGCAGTTTCCATCCATTTAGTTTGATCTTCTGCATCACACTAAAAACATGCCATTTGACGAGAACGCATAAGTAAGCAATACTGACAAGGGTTCTTAGTGGGTGTTTATAGTACTTACGCAATTTAAAGCACTATCTGAAATTGTTTCATTTTATGTTAAAATGCTTTTGAACAAAATCATGCCAGACAGTTCATTGCTACAAAATGTTTAAAAAGTGTCAGCCCCTATGTACTGAAAATGAAAGTGGGAAAATAGGCTTCCTAGGCCTTCCGCAGCAGTGTTTTGGAGCAAGATTTGCCTCTAATTAAAAACCTCGCCAAGGAGGATATTTATAATGTCCTGTTTCTACGGAAGTGAGGAACATAACTAAGTAACTTTTTTCTTTTGTGTAGTTTCAAGGCTTGTGTAAGTCAGGGGAGAAGCTTTCATTGCTTCCAGTGATCTCCGAGTCATGCTCTTCATGGGCAAATGTTCAGTAGCAGTTACCAACAAATAACTTTTTTTGATACCTGTTGAACAGAGTTAAGAAAACACCACAGTCGAGGTGTCTGTAGCTGTCAATGAATATGCAAAAAAGCCCCAACCAAACAAAAATCCATGAGGCAGAACACTGCTTCAGTACAGCATGAGGCAGGGCTACGCCTAAGTTCAAGAAGACCAGATGTGGAGGAACAGCTCAACATCACATAAGTTATGTTAGCCTAGATATTTTTGAGACGTGGTTTATTGTTCTACTACATGAAATCGTAAGCAGAAGTTATTTTCAGTGATGGTCCTTTCAAGGCTATATTAGGCAGAAATACCATTAAGACATGCAGTTCACAAAGGCAAATTTCTCACTATTTATCCTTCTACTTAAGGTTCATGTGGCCAAGATGTAGAAAGAAGAAAGACAATATGTGACTTGAGGAACATGATTGTAAAGAAAACTTATTAGGTGTTGCTTTTTATCCTGAAACAATATTGAAGCAAAGCTTTGTAATGGTTCCAAGATACCTTGTGAACCTGCAGGTCTTGTCTTTCATAAGGAATTGTGAAAATTGTTGGTTTGGAGTTTGTTTAGTTCTTGTGCTGATGACTTTGCATCTTCATAGCTTCCTGAAGCCTTTACCTGTTAGCTGACTTTTGCCCTACTTGATCTCTACTGCCATTGTATGCTGTGGGATGTCCTAATTGTTGTATTCTGACACTTATTAAACTAATGTCTGTAAAATATTTTTTCTATAAATGTGTGGATTTACAGACTAGCTGATACTGAGGTAAGATGCAAACATTTTGTAATAACTTATCTTTGATGACTTATCTAAATTAAGAACCTCACCTTTGGCAAGAAGTACAGTCTTCCACTGATTTCTACAGGTAGAATCATAGAATCATAGAATCATTAAGGTTGGAAAAGACCTCTAAGATCATCGAGTCCAACTGTCGACCCAACACCACCATGCCCACTAAACCATCTCCCTAAGCGCCTCATCTACACGTCTTTTAAATATTTCCAGGGATGGTGACTCAACCACTTCCCTGGGCAGCCTGTGCCAATGTTTAACCACTCTTTCAGTAAAGAAATTTTTCCTCACATCCAATCTAAACCTCCCCTGGCGCAACTTGAGGCCATTTCCTCTCGTCCTTTCGCCAGTTACTTGGGAGAAGAGACCGACACCCACCTCGCTACAACCTCCTTTACTGTCCATGAACCACATAATTTATTCTCCCTGTGTGCTGTTTAATCTGTAGAATATTTATTTATTTATATGCAACCTTAAAATACAACTAAACCAGAAATGTACAATTTTAATGTATGATTTTATGACTTTTAATCCCACTGTCTGAATCTCCCACTGGAGTATCCCTTCCTACTGGTAATCTTACATTTGCATTTCAAGTTTGAAAGTAGTAAGAAACTTAGACTTGCCACCAGTTTAGTATTAAATGTTTTGTCTTTCTATCTAGTTGTTTGTAATTTCAGGTGAAGTTTCCCACATTCTGTGGGGAAAAAACTGTAGCATTTGATTTCTGAGATGCACTGAGAAGCAAAATAATTAATAGGAAAAGTGAAATAGTAAATTATAACTGGAAGAGAGTATGTCATACAATTAATTCAGCCAATAGAGTGTACTAGAACACTGATTTTATATCAGCTACATATTGTCAAACACCATGAAGCATTCTTAACAGTACTGTTTGATATTCAGATTTCAGACAATTGGCCCGGATACAGTCTGGATTTGTTCACTTATCCTCAACACTACTACGGAGATCTGGAATATGTGCTCATACCTCACGGCATTATTGTTGACAGGTATGTGTAGTTTGAATGTTACTAAATAAATTCTTTGGTCAGTAGTATTATTCTTTTTTATAAAGCCTGTCATCCACAGACAGCGTGTATATAACATTTGTCCTAAAATGTTATATTAGCAATTATAAAAATACTTTATTTAATTTGGAAAGTAAAAAAATGCTTGAAGTTTAGGAATTGCTAGACTTGTAGTTGCCTTTGCAACTCCCTGTCTAATTTCTTTCACCTAATTTCTGATTTGGGCATTGAATGAGACAGGGGTCCCACAAAAAGAAGTGGGATCATGTAGTGAAATTGGCATTGGTATGTAAATTACAAGAGAGCTGAACTGAAGGTGAAAGGGCAAGTACAAAGCTTTGTGTATAGTTATACTTGAATGTCCCACTTGCACTCTAACCATCCTGTGTTTTCAATACAAAAAGGAGAAGAGACTACATTTAATTACGTACAACTTTGGCAACTCTGTAGTACAAATCATTAATGCCGATTAACCTAATGGTTCCCAACTGCACCACTGTCTTCTGCCATTCAGCACAACGAAAGAGCTTGTCGTGGAGTGTTCGGGTCCAGATGCTAGGTTTGGAGGGTGGCAGTGGGAAAGCTTGATCACCCCTCATTCCTTACCTTGTAGTAGTTCCCATATGCTCTCAGTGTAGGCATTTGATGGTGCTTTGGTATTTGTGGTAGTCCAGCTCTGTTCGTGCTCAGTTACTATTTTGACATGCTGTTAAAAATCTCATGAAAAAGTTACAAAATGGAAATGGTAATTTTCGACAGTGTATTTATTGGGAACATCTGAATGGAATTTCATGGGACATTTTCAGCCTGCAGCTTTCTACCTACCACATTTAAACAGCCAGTTGCAAGTACTGAAATTGTTGGAACTCCGTGAAAGAAGATTGTAAACATCCGTCATAAGGAAGAGTTATGACTCCTGTATTTGTTTTTAAACACAAGCTTTCCTTCATTGCCTTTTCAGTTACCATTGTGTTGAATTTTTAATCTCTTTTGGTTAGGGTCAACTGACTTTTAACTCCTCTTTTTTTTTAAATAAATATGTTACAACTTCAGTTCTCATAGAATTCAGTATAAATTTGTTTGAAGTAAGCATTGAACTGCAGTGGTTTTTTTGTACAGCAGAATGAACTCCACTGTTTTTTCTTACTCCAGCAGAAAAGACTGATTCTGTTCTAATGGAAAAGGACACAGAACTGAATATATTGTGATCATGCAAAATTTTTATGCAGGAAGAAGGCTCAGCACTTGAGAAAATTTTCTTGTCAGTTGGTAACAATTAAATACAGGTTAAAGAACTGGTATGTTTTTATTTAGAAATTGAAATTAATACATTTTTGTCTATGCTGGAGTGCATACTCTTTTAAAATACAAAATGGTCTTTGGAATTTTTGGAAAATTCAGCTCCTCAAACAATCTGAGGAAGAATATAAAAAAATGAAAATCACCAGAGAAATGTTTCTTCTTGACGAGAGGTTTTCCCCGTGATTCTCAGACTTGATAAAAGATGATAAAAGACTATTTTACCAATCTTCAGCAAAGTAAGTGAAAGTCTTTTAATAATCTTCATTCTTACATCAGTAAAAGGAATTATATATTTGAGGTCAAACAAGGTAATCTAATGATATCTTCTGTTTTTCAAATCTAAAAAATACTAATTGCAGCTATATGGAATTTACCTGAGCATTACAAATACAAAAAGATTTGAAAATGAAGTGACAGCTTTTGCTTGTAACTAGTATATTATCTTCAGTTTAGGGTTTATTCTTCTCTGGTACATGCGCACATGTAGATTTCACTAAAGTTCAGTGTATTTATGTAGTGGCGAGTGGATTTCCATGTTACAGTGGGTAGAGAAAAAAAAAAGATGAAAAATGCAATCACGAAAGACATGGGATAAGTTATAGGATTATTTAATAAATTGCATCCTGTCAAGAAGTCCACTCTCATTGAAACTACTAATCTAATTCAGAGAGCTATCAAAGAACTTTCCAGCAGAAGTGTTTACAGAAAATAATGCACTGAGCTGTTGTTCCTCAAAACATCAAATGACATCGTTCAGTTTTCTGTTGATACCTGCTTTATATCTAGAAATGACCTGATACCCTGTTTTAGGTCTAGAAATGCCATCTACCTTGTTCTTTAGAAATCAAAGCTACTTAAGATAAGCATTCATGTTTAATATTTTTATCTTGAAAATTTATGTACCATTCTATGGCAGAAATGTGTATGTTTGGTTTCAATCATCTGCCACATTGTGTTTGCAATGCAGAATTGTCAAAGAGAAGACAGATATGGGAACCCTGCAGTTCTGGGTTAATTGGAGCATAACCTTGATTATTCTCATGTGTGTGAGCTTGAACAAGTCACTTAAGCTCTTTGCACTCTTCTTTTTTTGCTGTGTGAAATAGCGATAATGTGCACTCTTTATAAAATTTTGATGGATGCTATATTTCTTTCTGGTATTTGTGTATATTTTTATTAAAATTGTAGGGGTAGTGTCTTACAAAGCCTACCAGTGTGATGTATTTCTAATAATTCTCTTCCCTATCTTTCACTTAATTTATTGTTCTTGGGTAGTAACTAACAGAAGTTAGGGGATTGTACAGGAATATTTTATATTGATGTTTCTGTGAGGTAAAATTGAAGGCTAAGTTGCATTCTTTACTCCAAAGTCTCTGAAATGCTTATGAATTCAATGCTGAGATGTGTTACTCCCTTTTCTATAACTGGGGAATTTATGCATTTAAGGTTAACCAGTTTGATTCACATGCTTTGCATCTTGCATCCATCACTCTGTATCTGCCTACTGGGAACTTGATCCAAACCCAGTCAAGTCAAGACACTTAAACAGACTGTCAGTCAAGCGATATATTCGCCTTAGTGTTTCTTTGTGACGGCATGGAAAGCATACCATGAACTTAGAGAATCTGCATCTAATGTTATTTTATCCTTAATTTTTTTGCCCCAGGACAGAACGATTGGCCAAAGATATTATGCAAGACATTGGAGACAATGATATTGTGGTTCTCTGTGTCCTCAAAGGCGGCTACAAGTTCTGTGCTGACCTTGTGGAGCACATTAAAAATCTCAGCAGAAATTCAGAAAGGTTCATCTCCATGAAAGTCGATTTTGTTAGACTGAAAAGTTACCACGTAAGTCAACAACTTATTTATGTAGATTCTGGTTTTATGTTCATAATAAATAGTGGACTTTTGTAAATGGGAAGTCTAAATTTTTTTCCCAAATTATAAGAAAAACAGTGTGAAAAATATTTTTGTTTGAAAAACATGTGAGGTTTTCTTTCAAAATATTTGCTCATGTCCCTTTATACTTTATGGATACTATGAATGAGGATATGAAGCGTCCTCAAGCTGTATTTTTTTATTTAATCTGTCTTCACTTTTGGACAGAAAATTATTCAAGTTTCTGTCAAGTAAAATGTCAGCATGTTGTTTGTTCTCAAAATCCTCAACAGTTCTGTCAAGTTTATTTCATGTTACTCCATTTTCCACCCCCACCCCACATAGTTTGCCATAACTGCAAGATGATAAATCTATGTCTTACTCTAAATGTTTAATGCTAAATAAATGAAATGCTTTCATCTTCATAACATGCAGTTTGCATAGTAGCAAAATATACCACTAGATGATGATAGTGTTTTATAAGAAAACGAAATAAGCCATTGAACCAAATCCAGTGTTGATCAAGACTTCCTGTTATCTTCAGAGGAAATTATGCAATAATGATTCATTTGTTTCAGTGAGGCAATGATAGTGAGATGACCGGCCTTTTTTTAGAACGCGTGATTACAATTTCTATTTGCATAAGCTATACATTTGTATTCCACCTTGTAGTTCACACTGCATAGTAAGGGAGCATTTCTAGAAGTAAATTGTCCTAGAAATGGCTGAGGAAGTACACTAAATAAATGGAGTGATAATACAGTTTCTCTCTGAGCACGAATGCAACTTGCTGAGTCTAGTAGTTCCCACAATAACTCTACATCCTTTCCACAGTCAGAGGTTGGTTGGCATTTTGCTCTGACCCCAGTGACCATAAACTTTTCCTAACTTTCACAAATCCAGCCTGAATTTTTTCCATCATGGGAGAGAAGTGGATGAGAGCCTTTTGTAGCCATTTGGTTAGGATTTGGTCCTAGGACTTCTCTTTCAAGAATTAGTCAGGTCTATGAAGGACAAGGGCAATACTAATATTATACATTTTCTAGCTATTTAGCAGTATTGAAGAACTAATTAATAAAGTAAAATATAATGTTTGTCTCACATAAAGGCACATGGAAATTATACTCGTATTTTTTGGTGTAGTAATGATAGCACTTCAATAACACTGCTTGGTGAATAGTGGAATTACTTAAATTGGTTTTTATTTTGCACCTGGCATATAGGTAATGCACATGCTTTTCCTGTTGGGTTATGTCTTCTCCAGTATGAAGATACCCTGGCTCTAAAATTTCTTTCCTTGGTGACCAGTCAACTCTTATTAGCCATACTAACCCATAAGCAATGAGTGGCAGGAGATGTACACTGCAAAAGTGTGGAAATCTTCACATCATAGCTTAGGAAATAAAATAAAAGCATGTTATATCAAACTGAAACTGCAATACAGATTTTGTTACGCAAGGATGCAATTATGAAGGCTAAATCCTAGATGATCCTAGCATTTAGTGGCTGTGCATGTTTTGGATCTTAGCCTAATGCTTTAGCAGGAAGGTAGTGCCTTTCCTAGAACTAGTGCTTGCATCTAGTTTTTGGAAAATAAATCCTTTTTTTCTTATAAGTGCTTCCAAACAGGTGTCATGTATTTAGAGCCTGAAGCTATGCTTGATTTAGTGCTTGGAACAGTGCTTGATATCTTCCTGGACGTGAGAAGCTGGCTGACGCTGCAGTATAAATTTGAAATGACATTAATATTGGTAGATTCATTCCATGAGATATGCATAAATGTAATGCTGACTAAATTACCAGTACCACTACCTGCCATCCTTTGTGTTTTGAGTTGTCGTCGTGTCCTGTCCAGTTACAATTTTTAGAGAACGTACCCTTGTCAACATAGCCGTGGTCAGAACACTTGAGGAACTAGCTGTCACTCGTTTGAGTGACCCTTTGTCCCAGCCTTATATGAGACTCCCAAATCCTCCATGTCAGTTGTTTATCCTGTAATAACATACCTCTCACAATGTTTTACACTTTAATCAGAGGCAAATAATTACAGTTTTAGAAGTAAGACTTCTTTGCTTCCCTTTGCCTTTTCTGTTCCACTTTCTATTAATACTTACTACTGCTCTCAACCTATTTTTCTCTCTTTTTATCCCTTTTTCATTTTATAGACACTGTTCTCACATTATTTATCCTGCTTCCTTCTACTAACTGTTCTCTGTTTCTCTCCTAAAGGGAGTCCTGCTGCTCTCAGTATACTTCCTTCAGATATGTCTCCCTTCCCCCCTCCAGCTGTTTAAATCCAACAACTAATTTCAGCTCAAACTCATGGGATTTTTGAATTGTCTCATTCCAACTTCAGTTCTGAAAGGTTAGTCGATTTTTAGAGGTTGCAATTTAAAGTGGGATTTCTTGGTTTAATCATGTAGCAAAAATGGGCTGTAATTATGACCCGAAGTCAGATCTTGGCATCAGTGAAAGTGCATCTTAACTGCAAAGTATCAGCAGAAAATGTATTTTGATGTCTGGCATATGGACATGATTACCTTTCAAGTAAAAGGAGATTGCAAATATGACCAGCTTTACATGGCTCTTTGTTTTTCAAACCTGTCATCATATTCCAGAATTTAGACACTTAATTAAGATGTTAAGATCTGCTTTCGTATTAAGTAGCTGAAAGCTGGGCATGTAAATTCTTTTTTAGACTTCTTCATACAAATGAATTGAGTTTTAAATGAAGCATAGTACATTTAGATTCTCTGGATATTAATGAGTTGAGGGGCTGTTTGTACTTCCAGAATCAGGATGGTTTTATCTGGTTTGCAAAGTGTTTGACCTATGTGCCTAAGCCTGGACATTTTTATGAGAAAACCTGTGTTTTTCAAATGGTGTCTTAGTTTAATTACCTCAAATTGGCATGTCAGATTACTGAATTTAGTATATATACAGGTAAAGTGGGAAAATACCATTTGTTTATTATTTTCAGAGGAAACAAAGTGGAATCCAACTTAGGAAACCATAGCTTAAAAATAATGTGGTTATACTGTTTATACTCTACAGACATCAGTATTAATTCTTAGACCTTTAATAGAATTCCTGCAACTGAAACTGGAGGTACAGCCTTGTCTGAAAGCATGTTTTTACTTCCTCTAGAAATTGAACTATGTTTTTCCATTTGTTTAGGGTTTTTTTTCAGTAGAATGCTAAAATGATACAGTAGAGAAAATTAAGACGTTTATACTTGTGGACAGAAACTTAAAGGCTTACGTAGAGATGAATAAATAAAAAATTAGGTGTGCTTAACTGTAAACGAAGTTTATATCTGTAAATCCATAAATATACAATTTACAAAGAAACACTTGATAACATTGTTATAACTCAGATTTTGAAGGCTTCTTAATCAGTAAGAATGATATTAAAAATAATAATGAAAAGTATGGTGAGTGGAAGATACATGGGTAGTTTTCCTCCATAGAAATACAATAAACTCTTTGGAGAATGCTGTTTCTTGTAGACTTACAGGTGATACAATATACTTGTTCTCATTTTAATTTTGTGTATTTAAATGAGCTCAAAATAAGGAGATTGTTTAAGTGGGGATTTGATTAGAGACTGTATGGTGACTTTACAAGCTTCTAGCACAGCAGGCAAAGTAAAAGAAAGCACCAAGGTGAGAGTTAGAAAATATGATTTCAGAAATAAACAGATATGGAAGTATCATGTAGACTTAAGTGTAAGCGTCAGGAAGTAGATGGAGAGGAAAATAAAATCCAATGATTGAAATTTGAATGAGAAGCAGCAGCTCTGAGTTTTAAGAGGCAGAGAGGAGAAAACATACACTTTTTTGAATGAACTCAAGACATGTGAGGCAGTAAGTATAGTGGGTAGACAAGGAAGCACTAGAATAGTCCTCACATGAAATGGAAAGCTGCCTGCCAAGTTTTAGGGGAAAACAATGTATTCTGGAAATACTGATGTAAGAACTGATAGAATTCATCAGCTTCTTAGGTATTAAGTTCTAAGACATTGGATTTTAATGTAACATAAGTTAGGAACAGTGGAATTGACTGCAGAGACTTTAAAACTGGATGAATAAAATCTAATATATTCAATTTTCACCATACTGCATTTTTTCCTGAGTGATCGCTCCTCCACAGGGAATCAGAGCTCTGAAATTGAAAAGAGGTGAGAGTTTCAGATTGATAGAAGAATTCAAAATTATTTTCAGAAACATGATAGGTTGAAGTCAAGGATGAAAAGTAATGGAGGAAGAAGTTGGGCTTGGGAATGTCATCCAAGGAGAATATGACACCAGCAGGAGAGGTAAGAAACATGGATCCAGAAATTCTTTAATATGTTTGTGACATTGATAACTTTAGCAGATTAAAGAACTAATTGGGAAGAATCCAGAGGGAAG